GGTGTACGTGGCTGGCGCCTTAGCCGGTTGAGCTATAGGCGCCGAGCCAAATCTCTCATCTTTGAAGTAGAGATATAAAAATCCCTTAGGATTATTTTGAAAGTTAAATGAAATACATTTATGGTACTTGATACTGTGCTTAGTCAATGTTGTATAATATTGTGTCAGGTGAAGGCAAAGCGACAATTTTTTTCTTTTTTTTGAGACAGAGACTCACTGTGTCGCCCTCAGTAGAGGGCTATGGTGTCACAGCTCAAAGCAACTTCAGACACTTGGTTTTAAGAGATTCTCTTGCCTCAGCCTCCCAAGTAGCTGGGACTACAGGAGCTGGCCACAACGCCTGGCTATTTTTTGGTTGCAATCGTCATTGTTTGGCAGCCCTGGGCAGGGTTCAAACCTGCAAGCTCCAGTGTATGTGGCTAGCGCCCTAGCCCCTGAGCTACAGGTGCCGAGCCAAAACAATAAATTTCTGAATTGGGATAGTAGCTATGAGAAAAAGTGGGATTTGGATAGATGAGACTAAAGGTTAAAGGGTTAAAGCTGATGGTAAGATTTCTTGCTTGAATGATGATAAAAGGACAAAAGTAGGGAAGTCTAGGAACCTTTCAGTGAGGAATGGACTGTAGCTTCACATTTGGACCCCTACCAGAGTGCCTTCAAACTGGAATAGTACAACAGATGATTTTTTATTACATGAACAAAATGAGTTTAAAGTTGATTTAGCATTGAAGTAGGCAGGAAGAGTGCTTGGGTAGAACTTCAGGCATCAGGCCTAAATTTGAGAAAGAAATCCATAAAGTTAGTTTTCAAAGAAAAGTGAAAGCACCAGGATTACCCATCTTTTGAAATTTTATCAGCACATTGTGGAATTGGTGTTTTAAGGCTTAAGACATTGTTATGTAACAATGTTTATAAAGTCAACAAAAGATGTACTCTTTTTCACTGACTTCTTAGTTTCAAAATGTTGCAAGAATAAATAAACCAAGACTTCAAGTTGATCAAGGTGCAGGCTTCTTCTGTAGTCTTTCTTTTTGCATAGCAGATATATTCCTAAAAGTTTTGTTGATCGTGTGCGTGTGTGTGTGTTGCATATCATATTTTAAATATTTTCATAAGGTAATCTGTGATTTGTAAATAATCAAGTGGTTAATCTTTGTTGCATAAATTATCACTTTCCTGTTTTTAAAGTTTTAATTTTGTGTATTGGATTCTTTTAAAGGCACATTTATATTTTCTTTAGCTGAATTGATGGCTTCTGGAGAACTTGTATAGCTGCAGAATATGCATAGTTTCCCAAGAAGAGTGCTTTGCCTTTGGGACAAGGACCAGAATAAAGGTGAATTGTTATTACATAAGATTTTCAGTAAAAGTCACTGAAAAGTAAGTAATATTTTTGTTTCAGATATATGTTAACAAGGGTGTGCAAACTGGCAAGAATTAACACTTTCCTATGTTTATTTTATAGTGATAGTTTTATGCTTTAGCATACTTTCTTTATCATAGAATGGTCTCTGGATAAGAATGTTTTCAAAGCAGTACCTAAAAGCAAGCATTTAAATAAATGTACAGGGTATAGAAACATTTTTGCCAATATATTATTGATTGCTCTTTCATAGAATGCTTGAAGTTGATCAGCAACTTTAATAATTATGAAGAAATTTAGGAAAAGGGGAATCCCTTTGACTATTTTTTTTAGATAGAGTCTATGTCACCTTTGGTAGAGTGTTGTGGCATCACAGCTCACAGCAACTTCAAACTCTTGGGCTTAAGCAATCCTCTTGCCTCAGCCTCCCAAGTAGCTGGGAATAGAGGCACCTACCATGATGCCTGGCTGTTTTTTGTCGCAGTTGTCATTGTTGTTTAGTTGGCCCGGGCTGGGTTCAAACCTGCCACCTTGGTGTATGTGGCCAGTGCCATAACCACTATGCTATGAGCACTGAGCCCCCTTTGACATATTTATTTATTTATTTTTCTCTTTCTTTTTTTAAAAATTAAATCATAGTGTGTACATTAATGCAATTATGAGGTACAATGTGCTGGTTTTATTTTATTTTATTATTTTTTAATTTTTTATTAAATCATAACTTTGCACATTGATACATCCTTTGACATATTTAAAGAACAGTTCATTTTAATTTTCCTTTGTCTTCCCAATATTGCTTTGGTAAGAGAATTGGCATTACAGAGTTCAGGGAAACATATTGTCTTTGTCTTAGGTTCATAGAAAGTTGAACTGCTACTGGATCATGCTTTGTACTGAAGAAGAAACTTAGTTTCTTTTCTTTCAAGCAAGTATGGCAAGTCCTGATAATTTTTTTTTTTTTTTTTGAAACAGTGTCCCTCTGTGTTGCCCTTGGTAGAGTTCTTTGGCTTCACAGCTCACAGCAACCTCAGTCTCTTAGGCTTAAGTGAGTCTCTTGCCTCAGCCTCCCAAGTAGCTAGGACTACAGGCACCTGCCACAATGCCAGCTATTTTTTTGTTGTTGCCATTGTTGTTTAGCTGGCCCAGGCTGGATTCGAACCCACCAGCCTCAGTGTATTTGGCCAGCACTGTAACCACTGTGCTATTGGTGCCGAGCCAGCCCTGATAATTTAATGAATGAACAAAAGTAGATCATTTAGCACAAAAGGAGATAAGGACTAAATTAAGGCATTAAGAAGAATTTTATTATATTGGTTCTATCAATTTTATGTCTTCATATTTTAGAGTGTTTTTCTTTAGAAGAAAGAAAGGTTGCTAGTTGAAATGGTTAAGAAAGGGTTCAATATCTAAATGGTTAAGAAAGTATTTAGTATCTAAAATAAAATTTCATAAGTAGCCAAAGCTCTGCACCAAAATGTTTGAAATGCATAGAGAATTAGATAGAAACAGACATAACCAATAACATTTTTTTATTTCTTATATACTTCCGAGATAAACTTTGAAATCTTTATCACTAAATTTTATTAAATAATGTAATTTTTAATTATATGTTCTTGTTAGAGTAATTTAAGGTCAATGGCTTTTACTTTTGGTATATAAGGTAGACACTAAGATAATGCGATTTTGTATTATTCTTTTTTATTCTGGCACACTGACAGCTAATAACAGTTAAAGATGAAGGGAATTGACAAGAGAAATGACTCTTAATGTCTTTATTGAGCAATGAATAATATGAATCCCAGTTTGGACATTAACTTTTTTTAATGTACTTTGTAACTGCATATTAATTGTTATTCTTCATAAATGATTTTTTTTTTGAGATAAGAGTCTCACTATGTCCCCCTCAGTAGAGTGCCTTGGCGTCACAGCTCACAGCAACCTCAAACTCTTGGGTTCAAGCGATTCTCTTGCCTCAGCCTCCCCAGCTGGGACTATAGGCGCCCACCACAATGCCCAGCTATTTTCTTGTTGCAGTTGTAGTTGTTTAGCTGGCCCTGGGCTGGGCTAGAACCCACCAGCCTTGGTGCATGTGGCTAGCACCGTAACCACTGTGCTGCAGGTACAGAGCCTAAATGATTTTTCTTAATAAGGTACCATGATACCTTAGCATTTAGTGGAAAAGTTTAAATGCACATAGAAAAAGCTTAAAAAGCTTAATATGGTCTTCAAAAGATAAGTTACGTGTAATATAGTGTGTAGCAATACTCTTAGTAAGTATAACCTTATATTGGCAAGGGTATAGATAAAAGATTTGTGATTCCTATCTGCTATTGTATATTTTATAAGTAAATTGAATAAAGCGGGTAGTGCTGATTTTGTTCATTATTCTTGAACAGTGAGTTTCTGTTTGTGTATGTCAGACACTATCCTAGTGGGGATGCAGAGATTAACGAACATATTCCATGTATTCCAATAGCAAAGTATCAGGGCCCACAGGCTGTGTTGCTGATTTTGTGAGGACTTTTGGTTGTCTTTAGCATTGGATATCAGGAAATTAGGCACAGACCACTTTTTTGCTAATCAGCTTTTTTTAAACTTTTGTTTATTTAATGTGTGGCCCAAGACAGCTCTTTTTGTTCTTTTATTTTTTCTTTGCAGTTTTGGCTGGGGCTGGGCTTGAATCTGCCACCCCCCGTATATGGGGCTGGCGCCCTACTCCTTGAGCCATAGGTGCTGCCCCTCTTTTTTTTTTTTTAATGTGGTACAGAGGAAAAATAAAGGTTGGACACCCCTGGATAGAGTTAAAGAAATAAACAATTTATTATAATACAGTGTGATAAATAGTACAAAGTACAGCGGGAGGATAGAGAAGGTGAACATTCTCACTATGGCTGGGGTGGGGGAGAACAAATGAAAGGAAGTTGAGAAAGGCTTCTTAAAGTGTATAACATCTAAGGTGGAGGGTAACATCAAAGGTGAGCCTTGATTTTAGATCAAGGAGAAGAATTTTTTTTTTTTTTTT